TTGCTAGCAAGGGCAGCCCCAAGAGTGAATCTCAGAGACTGACCCTGAGGACTTGCCCTGGTCCTTTATTTATACACTTCAGTGAGCGTTTGTTCCATACATTGAAATGTGGAGGTGTATGTGTGTGGGTGTGTGGCCAGAGTGTGACCCCATGAATGACTTCCCTAAAACTGCTGGTCTGGAAAGTCCAGCAGTCCACCTAAACAAAAAGCACTTAAACCAGAAACAGATATAACTACGTTAATCCTACCGTAAAACAATAAAACAAGGTACGAACTTTCCCATGCTCCCAGGATGTGGGGGTGAAAGCCAGAACACCCTGGAATGTTACAGACTTCCTAGGATGAGACATCCTTTCAATAAACACAAATGGTTACATGCAGTATTCTACCATATACAAACTTATATCATTAAAAGATTATACTGACTACTAAGTACAATTTTCCATTGACAACTGTCCATCATACTACAGGTACTCAAATTAGTATTAACAGGAATAAGTCAGTAGTAAAAAATAAAGATATATTGTTTTCAGAAGAAAACAAATGTAGGGATGACAAAAGGTGATGCCAAACATGATCATTTCTACTTATATACAGATTCTAAAGAAATAATTCATGCCTATAAATCAGTTTCTTCTACAAATCAGCTGCTAATTGCTTTTGTGTTTATCTCCTTCTATTTTGTTCGAGCCCCTGAATCACTGTCTCCCGCTGCAAACCAGTAATTATCCAGAGCAAGGAGAATTTTATCTAATGTATAATTAAAGTGGTGTACAAATAAGTAATATTGGTGGCTGAGGAGCAAGCCCACCCAAGGCAAATAATGAGCAGGCATTTAGAAGAGAGGAGGACATATCTGCAGGGGAACTGTGTTTTGTTTTGACAGGGATTTTCTTTTTAGGAAACACATTTACTTTTATTAAAATGGCCTTTAAGACGAGTCAGTGGGATCATTCTTTCGTGTGTACCTACTGTTTGAACATTTGATTAGTCTTCAGAGATCATCAGGGGTATGAAGATGACTCAGAGGCACTGGTTGTATTCGGTGCCAAAGGAACACCTTTGAGTTTTAAATGATCAAATGAACTGAAGCAAGAAAAAAAAGGAATTATTGCTATGTTCTTAAAATGCAATGTCTAGGGAGCTTTTTAACTTTAACAGCACATTTAAAGAAGTTTTTAAAAAGGAGAAAAAACAGCGAGGGAATGGGAAGGTGATCAGTGGCGTGGTCTGTTCGTCCCAAAACAGAGAAACAGGTTCGAGAGAGCTGTCGTGAGTTGGTTGGGAGAGATAGGGAAGGGTGAAAGGAGAAAGATGAGAGTGGGAGAGAAGTACCACGTGTGGGGGAGGGATAGGGCAGATGCACCCGTGATGAGGACAGCAGGGTGCCAAGAGGACCCCCCCTCTGTACTTACAGGCGTGCACAGACACACACACACACACACACTGCTGCCCGAGTCACTCATTTGAGAGAGCTGTCAGCAAAATGAAGGAGAGGAGACATAAGTAATGTAATGAGTGCGGTCTCGACACAGGCCCGGCATGTCTCTGCCGCTTCACTGGTCATCACTACATCCCACAGAGAAACAAGAGTGTTTGCTTTTATCTGCTCTCGTTCCCCCCTCCTCCTCCTCCTCCTCCTCTCAGCCGGTTGCCATGACAACTGCGGAGCTCCACCCAGGAAAGAGATGTGTATGCTGGGAGAAAGAGGATTATTGGGGTCAGTGGTCTCTGCGAGTGTGTGTGTGTGTTTGTCTCTCTCTCTCTCTCTCTCTCTCTCACAGACATTCATACGCAAGCTTTCTCACAGAGTATGATTGTGCACTTACACATAACAATACAGTGACTGAGTATTTAACAGGAATGAAGCCAGACAGTTAGCGTTTTTGTTGTCTGTTGTTTATTTAATTAATCAGCCTCCTGGAGCGAAATTTTATGGGTTAGTCATTATGTTGTTTTTGTGATTAGCATTGTTATTGAAAAATTTATGGGGGCTGTTTTTGTGGAACTTTTTAATGTTCTGTAATAAACTCGAGGTCAGGGTGATTAAGTGTTGCACTTCTATAAAGTAAAGAAAAAAATAACGAACAGAATGGAAGCTGGTGAGAGAGGCTCCCATCATCATTATGTTTGTTACTTTAATGTAT